CCCATCTTAGTTCCCATGAGCCCCTGCTTCCTCCTGTGCTCTGCAGCCCCATCTTAGTTCCCATGAGCCCCTGCTTCCTCCAGTGCTCTCCAGTCCCTGAAGCCAAGTGGGCTAATGGGACCCAGAAGAAAGATATGACAGGCTTTACCAACCAAGCAGATAGGTCTTCACTCTCCTGCCAACCCAAAGGAGGGTGGGCTCCTGCTGGGGAAGAAAGAGGAGAGCGTGTCCTCTCCCCACACAAGGCCCTCCTCTGCCCATCCCTGTGTCCCTGCAGATGCCCCCTGGACCATACTCCTGGCCAGTGTGGACCCCGAAGCCACCTCAGTGATGGTCCAGGGCTTGGTTCCAGCCCGCTCCTACCAGTTCCGTCTCTGTGCCGTCAACGATGTAGGCAAAGGACAGTTCAGCAAGGACACTGAGAGGTGAGGGAAACAGCGACTCCTCTGCAGCTGGGGTGACAAGGGGCCTCCTGCTGCCCAGCCAGCGTGATGAGGGGGCAGGGCCACAGGGCAAGTCTGGCTTGATGTCTGTGCCTCTCTGGGCTTCAGTATCTACCTCTGTAGACTCATAACAATTGCTCAGGGAAAGCGTGAGGAGAAGGGAGGTGACACGGACAGAAACAGGCCATGGGCAGAGTATGGCACACCATAATGCCACGGGAAGTCGGAGGCTATGCCACCTCAGAACTCACCTCTGCCTGCTACGTGGCTCCACGTGCTGTCACCATTATCAGAGGACACTGAGCTGGGGGCAGGGATCTCACAAACGTCCATCCCCAGTGCCACACACGCTGCCGGGCCCTGGGAAGGCACTAGCACACTGTTTATGTAACAGTGGACATTGACTAGAAGAGCAGGCACTGCACCTGATCCTGCAGAAGGTGTGCTGTGCCCCACGAACCCTGCGGACGAAGCAGCCACCTCTAGTGGGAAAGCAGATGTCCTTGCAGAGATCAGAAGGGCTGTGGCACAGATCACAGGTGTCAAGACTGGGACTCAGCTCCTCCGTCAAGCATGTGGTTTTGCCATTGTTCCCATGAGCTCAAGCCTGGGGCTGTCTCTAGAGGCATCCACAGGGCCAGGACCCTCCAACAGGGGGCAGAAGGGATGGGCCCAGCCCAGCGTGGCCGCAGGGAGAGGGGAATTCACTTGCTCACTGTTGTTTTCTGTGGTGCTGGCGGTGGAGCCCGGGACCTTGCCCATCCCCTGCTCCACCCTGGAGCTACCGCAGCTCCAGCCCTTGCTCACTGATTACTAAACACGTACTATGTATGTGCCCAGCTATGTGGCCCCCTGCAGGTCACATGGTGAACAACACACCTGCCTGCCCCCAGTCCTCCCAGAGTCCCAGAATCCCACAAGGTGAGCCCCAAGACAGGGGACCCCAACACCCTCCACACCGCCCTGTGGCCTCGCTGTGCCTTGCGGACACCTCGTCCTCTCAGTGCTGATCATTCCAGCCACCGTGCGAGAGATTAAATTATCCCGGCTCCAGGATGCGTTCAGTGCTGCTAGGAAAGCTGTCCATCAGGATGCAAAAAACATAAAACTAAACAAAGAGGGAAAGACATCCATCAAAAATAATGAACTTTTGTTTTTAATGGATAAGCATCCGTGGTGTGAAAAATACACTTTAGGCGGAACACTGCGTTCCTCAGCAGTGCCAGAGAGAGAGAGAGATGTGGTACTGGGCTCCAGGGAGAGGTGGGCGGTGCCTGGGCCCCACCTGCCTGCCGGCCCCGCCCCCTGCTCAGTGGGCAGTGACAGGTGTCACCAGTCAGCTCATGCGAAGGAAGGACCCGTACTCCTCCTGCCAAAACACTTGAACACCTCTACCTCATTAACCCAATGGTAGCTTCTTTATCAGGTAGAAAACGAGCTCATGTCTCCCAACTACACCCAAAATGCACCCATGTAGTGTTGTGTAGGGTTGTTAATAGATAGAGGGTTAGACAGAGTTACTTGAGACTCAATCAGTCTTGTAAGGCATACAGGATACTTTTTTGTAGGAATAAGCGCAGAGAGGTTTAGTGACTTGCCCAAGGGCACACAGCAAGAGACAGAACAGGACAGGTCTTGGCCTCCGCTATTCCTGTTAGAGGCCTACACTGTCCCAGGGAGTGAGGAAAGGCCCATCCACTCCTTACTTTCTGATTCAGGGTCTCCCTCCCTGAGGAGCCTCCCACGGCCCCTCCACAGAACGTCATTGCCAGCGGCCGGACCAACCAGTCCATCATGATCCAGTGGCAGCCGCCTCCTGAGAACCACCAGAACGGCATCCTCAAGGGCTACGTCATCAGGTAGGGTGCCTGCCGAGGAGCAGCAGGGCAGCCCAACCCCTGGGTAGAGGGACGGCAATGGGCAGGCGCCGGAAGTAGGTTCGGAAATGGTACAAACTCGCAGTGGGTGCTCTCCGTCTGACAAGGCCCAGGCCACAGGAAAGGCCTACACTGTAGCAGGAAGGACTTAGGCTAGACATCAGGAAGAACTTCCTGCATTAAAAGCTGCAGGAAGCAGCAGCAGTGGTTGAGAGAGGACACGGCATAATCTCGAGACCAAGTGAAAGGCAAAGCGGCTGTGCCAGGGACGACGTGGGAACAGAGCCACAGGGAGACAGGAAGAGGCCCGGTCACCAGGGAGCTCCAGAATGTTCCATCTCGGCCAGGCCCTCCAGCTGGCTGGGGAATGCAGACACTAAGAGGGCAAGAATCGGATGAAAAGCCCAAGTCTGGTTCTGCAGACTTTCTTGGTACACTGGGCCTAGGACTGCTCCACCAGCACATGCATGTGACGAAGGCTTGCCTAAGGGTGGGGTCCTAAGGAGCTCAGTGTTTGAAGCTCCTGACAGCTCTTACCCATCTTCTGAATCCCAGCTGGCCACAGTGCCAGGCCCCTCATGGAGCTCTTTCCCACATCACGGGTGCTGGGATCCCCCAAAGTTGGAGGACATCCTTACGGATCCAGCTGCTCCGTGATCGCCTAGTTTAGCTGTGAGTTTTTGTTTAACCCTAAAGGGTGAGCCCTAGCCCAGCAGCATATGTGCCACCCAGGAGCCATTCAGAAATGTAGATTCTGTGGTCCTGTCCAAGACCTACTGCATAGGAAACTTTGGGAACAGACCATCCACCTGTTTCTCACAAAGCTCTGGGTGATTCCGATGCACAGGGTCACTTCTGTGGAGTATGAGAATGCACTGCCTTGCTCTGGGGCTCTAACAGCCTGCATGCTTTGTGGCACCCCCATGACCTATCTGTCCTCCACGTATGACTCCTAAGTCAGCCTCTACAAACCCGTCTTTGTTATCATGGGTTGTATTCTAGGAAGGTAGATGTGGGTAGCCCAGGCAGCCTTAGATATGTTCATTCCACCTCCAAGGGGGAACTGCTGTCCTAGAGGGAGAAATAAAAGGAGCCCAACGCTGGGAACCACTCTCCTGCTGAAGACCTGCAAAAGCTGAGCCCTGTGAGGCCTCGGCATGCCTGCTCAGCCATCCTAGGCCTATCCTCTTCCCCTATGAAAAAGAAAAGCCAGGGGCCAGCAAGGCCAGCAGACTAAGTGCGGGCTTAGGCAAGCACAGGGACCAGGGTTCTATCCCCGGCACTACATGCTGTGCCAGCCCTGCCCCACCCTGCACCAGCCCTGCCCCAGGGCATGCTGAGCCAGCCACTGAGTATGAGTGAGGTGGCGTACGCCTATAATCCCAGCACTGAGGAGGCTAAAAACAGGAACGCTACAAGTCTGAGCTGTGTAGTAAGACCCTGTACCAAATACATTTTAAAAAAAGAAAAGTCGGGCTCAGCCCCTACCTGGCAAGCATGAGGTCCTCAGTTCAGTTCCAGGCGCCAAAAGAAAGAGAAAAGCCGTGACCCTTCGCTAGACCTGTGATGCATACTGAGGCATATTCAAGGCAATTAGAAACACATCAGAGCCCAGCTCACCCTCCTAGCTGCCCCAGCGCATCTTGGGTGTCCGATAGCCACATGTGCTAGTGGCTGCCCCTATGGGACAGCACAGATGTACAGCATTTGCCCTGTCAGGAAAAGTTCTGGTGGGCAGTGGTATCCTAGACCACCTCCTGGGACGACCCTCGCCTCTTCCCCTAGGTGGGTGGTGGCGAACCTATGGCACACAGGCCTCAGCAGGCTGTCTGTGTCAGCGAACACTCTAAAAGTGCTCACCATCACTGCCCTAGGTACTGCCTGGCCGGTCTGCCTGTTGGGTACCAGTTTAAGAACATCACGGATGCCGACGTCAACAACCTGTTGCTAGAGGACCTCATCATCTGGACCAACTACGAGATCGAAGTGGCTGCCTACAACAGTGCCGGGCTCGGTGTCTACAGCAGCAAGGTCACCGAGTGGACGCTGCAGGGAGGTGGGTAGAGACAGAGGGACCCCCTCGGAGCAGCAGGTGTGGCCCTTGCTGCAGGCTTTTTGCCCGCTGGGGGCCTGAGCCTGCTTTGTTCTCCGCTCGGACAGTTCTGAGTGCCTTGACCGAGTGGCTTGCTTCATCTAGGCCCTCGATGTCACACCTAGTGGGATGGCCACCCTGTGTCTGGTTCCTACACAGTGAGCCTTTAGGGACAGAGGGGGAAGAGTCAGGGTGGGAGGTAGGGAGGGGCAGAGGCTTTGGGGTGTGAGGGTGCTCTGCAAAGATTCTCATGAACTAGATCATGACACACTGCCTGTTGTGACCCACCTGACACCTGCGCTCCCCAGCGCCACACGTGACATGTGCCTGGCCACCACTTCCTTCATTGGTGCCCAGGAGGGATCAGGCCAGGGGTACTGGCCCTGAACTCACCCAGAGATAGGGCGCCCGGGGTCTGAGCAGAGGGGCAGTTGCAGGAAGTGGGGCGACAGAGTAGTCTCTGGATCCATGCCCTGTGCTTTCTCTGTCAAACTGGGCAAAGCAGACTGATGGGCCCCTCCGCCCACCCTGTCTCCTCATCCCTAGTTCCCACAGTCCCCCCCGGCAACGTGCACGCGGAGGCCACCAACTCCACAGCCATCCGCTTCACCTGGAGCGCCCCCAGCCCGCAGTTCATCAATGGCATCAACCAGGGCTACAAGGTATGAGGGTGGCTCTGCCCCGGAGGAAGCGTGAGGCCCTGGGGCACGCAGGGAAGGCAAGGGAGGAGCCAGAGGGGTTCCCCTCTGCCTGAACTCCTGGGCTCAAGCCAAGCAGAGGGCGCACACACTTCCTCCAAGAGAGTGAGGCCAGGGACCAGCAGTGACCAGTGCAGGAGCCGACTGGGCCACCGTGACACTGGAAACTAAATAAGCCAGGTTTACTCCAGCTCAGCACAGCTGGTGTGGTCAGGACCCAAAAGAAAAACCCAACACTCCTTCTTACATCACACCATAGCTGACGGGCATGCTGCCGGGACAGGTCCTTGGGCTGTGTGTGGTAAATGGTGCAAGACAAGGACTCAGGGCAAATCCTGCCTTCACCTCTAGCTAGCTGCCTGGACAAGCTGTTCAACGCGCCTGCCCTTCAGTCCTTCCATAAGTATTTATTGAGCACGTACTTCATGTACTGCACTGGCTGCTGGGGAACTGCAATTTGGCATCCTCGCTGGGGATGAGGAAGGGCAATACCCCTTCCTCACAGTCGGGTGAGGGTTAACCGCCTTGACATCTGTATTCTATTCAGCACAGAGACAAACGCATAATACGCATTCAGAAGGATTTGGGCAGTAGTCCTGCATTTGTGTGCTTGACCTATTGTGACAGAATAGTGGCTTGAACAACAGAAGTAGTTTTCTCACAGGGACTGAAGTCCAACATCGAGGTGTCAACAGATTTGGCACTTTTTTTAAAAAATGTATTTTTAGTACAGGGCCTACTGGGTCTTACTACGTATATCAGACTCGTAGTGATTCTCCTGTTTTCAGCCTCCCAAGCACTGGGATTACAGGCACGCATCACCATATGGCAGGCCAGGGATGGAACCCCGGCTGCCGCACTCTGCCTAAGCAGGCGCTTTAGTCCACTGAGCTATTTGGCTTCTTGCACGCCCTCTACCCTTGGCTTGTGGGTGGCCGCCTGCACCCTTGCGCTGCCCTCGTGGGTGCCTGTGGCTGATCACTTCTTCCTCTAAGAGCCAAGTCATTGGATCGGGACCAGCCCTAGAGACCTGCTTTAATCCCCTCTTGAAGAGCCCCGTCTCACATTCTGAGATGCTGGGGTTAGAAAGGCGACATCTGAAGTCTGAGGGTGTCGATTCAGTGCTGAGCATCTACAGTGACAGTGACTGTAAGTGGCACAAGAAATGTGCAGCAGCTGTAACTGTGCTAAAAGTTAGGGCTTCTCGGTTGCCCTCTCTGGGATGATCCACACCAGGATCCCAGGCTTGCGTCTCTCCTCTCCCAGCATGGCATGAGGGGCCCTGCGAGAGCTAAAGGCAAATCACACGTTCAGTCCATACATTTTCAGGAAGCAGCGCCTTCGCCTAGTGCCTTGGGACAAGTGCCTGCTGTAGTCAGCTCCCCCCAGATGTGGGGCTCCCTCTAGGGAAGGAAATGGAGGCACATTATTTGAGAGGTGTACCCTGCAGGGAAAGCCAGGGAGGTCTGGGCAAGAGCTACAGGCTCCAGGGACCTGGTGACCTTGAGGGGGCGGCCGCCACATCTTGAAGCCTCCTGTGCCCCTCTCTGCTTGCTACCTGGGCCCTCGCCAAGATCAACCCTAGGACAAGCAGCCTTAGGCTTTATTACTGCAAGGTGGGGGTGGCTGGACAGAAAAGGAATGAGTTTCCATTGCGAATTCAATTTTCTGCTTATGTTGCAAGCACAGGAGGGCAGGTCCAGAGCCGGCCTGGCCCGCTCACTCCCGGGAAGGCGGCCAACCCAAGGCCACCGAGCATCCCAGGGGCAAGGGGCTGCCATCCAGCATGCCAGTGCTGACTGGCTGGAGCAGACTCCTAATTGGGACTC